AATACCTAAAGGTGAACAAAGAGATCAGGTGACCTCTTGGCCCAGGAAAGAGACAAAGCCCAGAGAAGGAGGGGCTGGAGGGGGTTTGAGAGTTGGAGCTACCTGGGGACGAGGAGTGAGGGCAGACGTGGGTGTCTGGCTCTCTGAACCCCATAATGGGCGCGGCCGAGGGGTCTCGTTCACCGCTGTACCTACAAGCTGTGTGTTAGACCGTGTTCCTGTCATTTAATAAACCTCTGTTTTACTGGCTGGCTGCGAGTCACGTCTGACTGCGAAGTGGGGGTGCAGAACCCTTTGGCTTCCCCAGGACCCCGCCGGGGCGGACTTGCTGTGGGAAGCACACGGAGGAGCATATGCTGAATGCTCCCAGGAGAGACCCAGGAGGTGAAGCCGTGTGAGCTTCTTGCCCTGAAGACGGTCTGCTCCAAGGGAGAGGAGGCTCCCCAAAGTCCTGACTGGCTTTGTGGGGAGTGTCACGGAGTCCTGCCTGCTCTGTGCAGGGCCCCACCCCAGCACCCCCTGCCCCACAGCCTGGGCCCAGCGGAGGAGCAGCCGAGCTCAGAGGCAGCAGGAGGGGATTGGAGCTGGGTTTGCAGTGGGGTACCCCTGCCCTGGCCCTGGGGATGGGCACACGGGCTCCATGGGACAGAGTGGGGCTGACCCATCACTGCCAGCCTTGAGTGCACGGGGCTGGCGGGGAGCAGGGCCATGTGAGGAACTGGTGCCTGGAGAGCTCACATGCTACCCCTAGGCCCTGCCAGCCCAGACCCCCGACAGAGGCCTGAAGCCCCCCCAGACTCCGCCAACCCAGACCCCACAGTTCCCGGCTGCCACAAACTCACCAACAAAGACCCGGTGCTCCCCAGACTCCGTCAGCCCTTCCCCACGACACCTGGGCACCCTGTACCCTCTGACACAGGCCTGGCACACCCCCCAGACCCTGTCAGTCCTGCCCCATGGCACCCGGGCACCCTGCACTCACCAACACGGGCCTGGTGCCCTGCCAGCCCTGCCCCACGGTGTCCGGCTGCCCCATATTCACCAACACAGGCCTGGTGCTCCCCAGACCCCGCGGCCCCGCCAGCCCTGCCCCAGAGCACTGGGCCGCCCCGAACCTACCGACATAGACCTGGTGCTCCCGCAGGAGGTGCCCGCAGAAGCACTTGGAGAGGTCACCCACACGGAAGCAGTCCCACAGGTACTCAGGGCAGCGCCAGCCGATGTAGAGACCTGCGGGCAGGAGGGGGTCAGCCGTGCCCAGGATCCCCCATCCCCTGCTCTGGTGCCCCCCAGCCAGGCCCTGGGCTCCCGAGTTACGTGCTGCTCCCCCCAGCTCCAGCCCGCTGCGCTCGGCACCATTCCCCAGTGAGCAGAGGGGTCCCGCGCCCCCCAGGAAGGGCCCTACCTGTCTGCATGGCCGTGAGCGCTGCCTCCCTCTCCAGGTGGAACAGCTCCTGCACCTCCCTGCCGAACTGGTCCCGGTGCATGGCCTTGGCCACCGCCACCAGCTCGGCCCTCCTGGCCGGGACGATGGGCCGCACCGCGTAGCCTGGGCAGAGATGGGCAGGGTGAGTGGGCAGGGGCAGCCGCTCCAGGGGCCCTCCCCGACCCATGGGCCAGTCTCTGCTCTCTGCATGGGACTGACTCCCCGGCCCCTGGCTCTGGTGAGGAGCAGCCCCCACTCAGGGTAGCACAGCTGGCAGCCAGCCCTCCCTGGCTCTGTGCCTGGAGCGCAGAGGAGGCGGCTCCGGCGCCGGCTCCGTGTCCCTTGGCCTGCGGCTCCCAGAGACTCCGTCCGGGTCATGCTCAGCACGGCCTGGGCCTCTACATGCTTGTCACACGCAGCCCTGCCAGTGCCCCTCAGTCCCGACCCACGGCCCCCGCTCGCCCAGCCCTGTGCTCCCTCACCCCACAGCTCTGCCAGTGCCCCTCAATCCCGACCCACACCCCACTGCTCCCCCACCCCTGTGTTCCCCCACCCCACAGCTCTGCCGGTGCCCCTCAGTCCCAACCCACGGCCCCCGCTCGCCCAGCCCTGTGCTCCCCCACCCCACAGCTCTGCCAGTGCCCCTCAGTCCCGACCCACGGCCCCCGCTCGCCCAGCCCTGTGTTCCCCCACCCCACAGCCCTGCCAGCGCCCCTCAGTCCCGACCCACGGTCCCCGCTCGCCCAGCCCTGTGCTCCCTCACCCCACAGCTCTGCCGGTGCCCCTCAATCCCGACCCACACCCCACTGCTCCCCCACCCCTGTGTTCCCTCACCCCACAGCTCTGCCGGTGCCCCTCAATCCCGACCCACACCCCACTGCCTCCCCCACCCCTATCGTTCCCCCACCCCACAGCCCTGCCAGTGCCCCTCAATCCCGACCCACACCCCACTGCTCCCCCACCCCTTGTTCCCCCACCCCACAGCCCTGCCAGTGCCCCTCAACTCCCGACCCCACACCCCACTGCTCCCCCACCCCTGTGTTCCCCCACCCCACAGCTCTGACGGTGCCCCTCACTTCCAACCCCACCCCACTGCTCCCCCATCCCTGTGATCCCCCACCCCACAGCCCTGCTAGTGCCCTTCAGTCCTGACCCATGGCCCCTGCTGGCCCAGCCCTGGGCTTCCCAAACACAGCCCTGCCGCTGCCCCTCAGTCCCGACCTGCAGCCCCTGCTACCCAAGCTGTGGGTTCCCCCTACTCCTGGCCCCCTCAATCCCCATTCATAGTCTTGGGTGCTGGGGCACATTTACACCCTCTTCTCCTAGCCCTGCCCCCTCCCCCCCCCAGCCCTTTACCTGGCGGGGCGGGGACGCGAGAGCCTGGCTGGGAGTGGGGCTTGGGGTCAGGGTGGGAGATCGGCTGGTTCAGAGCCGGGAGGTCGCGCTGGTGCTGGACGCAGCTTCGCAGTCCCGGATCCCGAGGCCTCAGCTCACCCCATCGAGCCCCCGCCCCAGCAGAGGGGAGATGGGGCCCCGTGGCATTGCCAGCCCCAGTGCCAGCTCTGGGTCACTCCCGGGGGCGGGTGACCTACCCACAGCCGCTTTCTTGGCTGCTTTCTTCTTCGTGCCCCCCTGGGGCTTGTGCTTCGTCTGGGTGTGGCTGTCGGTAACCTCCACCTCCTCCTTGTCCTCCTGCTCGTCGGCCCCCACCCCAGCCCCAGCCGGCGCCTCGGCCGGAGAGCAGGATGGGCCCGAGGGCTCCTCGGCCGGCGACGCGGG